TTCCGAATGTAAGGAAGTGAAGTCGGATGCCTGGTAGATTCGGAAACATCTGGAAATTTGCCTCATTTTCGAGTATCTCGAAAAATTTCAAATTCCGAATCTTCTATGATTCCGAATGAAGTCGAACGCATGGCGCGTTTGGGAAGGGTGCATGCCTCTGAATTGCCTCTGAAACCCATCCCGTTACCCTTGCCCTTCCCCTAGGATGACAAGGGATACATATTATTTCTATTCTGAGGATTCCATCCACAATATTTTGTTCTGGACTCAATGCCGATTCAGAGCAACCTTTTCATAGCTCTCGTGACCCTATTTCCATAACGTCGGAGAGAAATTGGATTATTCAGGAAAAAGTGCACGGATCGACATGATCTCTGCAAATTTTGGATGTCTATTGGTGAATGTCAGACCAACAAAGTATGGATGGAGGCCCACTGCCCAGTATCGTGCGATGTCTGCAACGGTAATTAGTGCTGTAGGAACCAGTTTTTTTTTTCGCTGAGTTGAATTCTCATTGAACCCTATTCAGGAACGATGGCGTGTGTGGATCGACATCGCCTATGCAATTTCTGGACAGCAATCCGAGAGTGCGAGACGAACGCCGTTTGGATGTTGTCCAACTGTCCCAAGTCTTGCAATGCATGTAAAGGTGAGCACAGCTTCCCCTTTGGCTCAGTCCGAGTTTTTTTCAGCGCCTTAAGACACAATTTACGATCAACTTGGTGCGTCAGTTTGGCCTAATATGAGAAAAGGAGTGCGAAGTAGATTGTCAAAAGGAAACCGTCGAAATCATGGAATATACGAGAATCATGGAATCCTTGTTCTACGCCGTAGAGGAGTCAACGAGCAGACATCGAGGAAAGATGATGGTCGAAGAGGAGGGGGAAAAGATACCGAGGCGAGAGAGCATAGGAGACCAGCGACACGACAAAGGCGAGATACCCCCACTGTGGGCGGATCAACCGGCGTTTGGCACCTAATAATATCGTTTCTACGACAACTTCTAGCAGACGGTGCCTCGTATCGCAGCGTCTACGGCTCTGCTCCTTTTTAGCTCATTCGCAACTCTTCACTCTCCTGGTGGTGTGGTGTGCCTTCAAGATTTTTTTCATAGCCTCAATTCGTACCTAAGGAAGCAAAGAGAAATTAGGGTGGTTGATGTTCAAGCTTACTCATTTTTTTACCTTTTGAATGTGTAAATACGTTATCCTTTTTAAAGGGACATTTGTGGAAGTTTGTGTTGATTTTTTTTCCAAACTTTGCTTTCATTCCTTCAACACACCGTTATTTAGCACTCTGCTGGAATAAGTAAGCTTGAGCACAATTTTTAATCGGACGGGAATTTTCAGTGTCAGGCAACATTTGAAACTGGTAGAAATGATCCCTTTTTCAGGAAATGTTCATTTTAATGACTAGAAGTAATTTGTAAACAATTATACAAACTACTTGTAGCGCTGCACTCATACTGGATCTTTTTTTCGCGATTTTTTTGGTAAATATATTGATTTTGCGCGCAAAACGTCAATATCTGCAATATTTTGGGCCCATACATAGGCTGTTCAAATTTCAAAAAAAGCAGTCTCAAAAATTTGCTGTAATGGCAGAAAATGTTGTAGAAAAAAACAAGCTCTCTTCACCTCAGTTCATAGAAATTGAATGCTTATTTCAGGCAAAACAATTGGCCCCGGTGGAGGTTCACGAAAAGAGACTTTTTCATAGAAATTGAATGCTTATTCCAGGCAAAACAATTGGCCCCGGTGGAGGTTCACGAAAAGATGGAGGATTTCGTGAGGAAGATTGCACTTTCATCACCACCCACGAAGGTATCTTATTGGAATGTCATCTCTAATCTTTCAGAAGTTATTGGAGGAAGAGTTTCAGACACTGGTCCGTAAAACGCTCTCCGTTTATTAACGAGTGGCAGAACAGAAACCGGCCAACTTTCAGCTGGTGCCTTTCAGCAACCATCCGAACTTGCATAGAAATCTTGGCTACATCTAAGTTGGTCGTTTCCATTAGGTCACAATTTTGCAAAGTTACACTCGAACAAACACTCATAGAATTTGTTGTCTATTTGATGCTATAGTGTGCTCAGAGTAAGAACCCATGATGGAGTCGTGTCGGACAATCTGTTTCGTGGAGAGGATGGAGTTAGCGCACTAGTATCGCAGCTTCACGGTTATGCCGTTGTCGTGGCTCGCAGGTGGGCGGTGGTGGCGGCTGATGTTTTTTGTTGGGGATAGCGGGTAATTTTTTTGAAGGGACGAGAGACCGCGCGCAAGTCATCAGCACGAGATTCGGATTCCGATTTGTAACGGTCTTTTTTTTTCAGTTAGAGCGAGGGGGAGCAGAAAGTTCAGACAAGACTCGTACGGACAGTCGGCTCGTCCTTTAGTTTTCATCGGGCAAGAGGGCAGCGTCTTACTACAGGGGTTCCATCCCGTTGCTTTCATTTCGTTTTTATTTTTGACTAAGTTGGCATCCAAAATGTTACATTATCGAACACCGTTATATCACCAACTTGACCTCGGGTTATCTCTCTACAATTTCGAAATTTCAGAGATTCCGAACCTTCTAATGCGTACGTGCAACAGAATTTTCCAATTATCGGATTTTATTTTTATTGAATGGATTGAAACACCACAGTATGACAGACGGTTCAATGTCCACATGTGGCAGTGATCCTATGACTTGACATCCTGCAACTTATGTGTCTGCTTTACCTAGCATAAGACAGGAGCTTTCTTGGTATTCTCACCGCCCTTATGGGAAACCTCAACGAGTTGATAATGGTCCGGACTAAAAGTTCGTACATCGACCACATGATGTTGACTGCATCTCGTCACAAAATTTTCGCTGAAGTTGGATAACACAGTCACATTCAGTGTTAAAGAGAAGTGATAAGGGGAGGCAAAAGCGCAAAAGCATCCGAAATTCACACTTTCCGGATATCGGTAAGTATGCTCCAAGCTCGTTCTAGGGAGTGCGTTATCCCTAGCGCCATCCGCCTATCTAGAGTCATCAGTGGTGAACACGTTGATCTGCTCAACAATTTCTTCGATTGGACAGAAATTATTTATTTTTCTCTTGTTGCATAGTAACTCCCTTTCCCTTACTAGTTGAGGTCGGTCAAACTCCATTTGCACAAGCGGTATCCTATTGTCTATGATATAGCGCACCTATGCGTGCATCAAATAAATAAATAAATAAATAAATAAGTTGAACTTACGTTTCTGACGAGAGAAGCAGTGTTCTGATTAAAATCGTTTTAGTGTTGCAAATTCCTAACACAACACTCAAAGCAAAAAAGAAAACGCAGAATCAGTTTCAGTGCAAACCTCCTTTATCACTAACAAAAGGGGCTCTATCACAATGCACGGCGCCTTTGTGAGTAGCAAGGCATTTAAAATCTCGTAAAGCATCTCCTTTATATCAGAATCGGGATAGCTCTAACCCGAGGGACTTCAGCTTGCATTAACGATTTTTATTTCCCCACATACTACGTGCCTTCTGTTGGCTGGGCTAGGCTTAGTCGTAGATGACGCCCCCGTATATTACGATAGTACCCAAAAAGAGATTTTAATTTTGAACACTACCCGTGGAAATTCACGTTCTTTTTTCTTTCGTCCACCTGTCATTGAAGTTTCCTTTTACTTTGACCAGCTTCCAGACAGGGATGACCGCGGAAGGCTATCAGAACACCGGTCTGACGGTACCTGTGCTGCTCAACTCGTTGTAGTAAGTAATGCTGGATAATTCAAGGGGGCGAAAGCTAATTGTACTTAATAATGGCGTTGTGAGTTAAGCGGTGTTTGCAGCTTCAAAATTCGTCGACAGTCCTCTCTTCTGCTATGACTATTCCATTGAAATCAATTATTATGTTTTCAGCGTCGTTCTCTCGAACACGACCCTCGTCCCGCGATGCATCGCGTCTGCTGCTCTCGTCGGCCTCACAGGTTCGTTCTCAGGCCTTCCCCAATGTTGTGGAAATTTCAATTAATGATGTTGTTGCAGATTCCTCATCACTCGAAATGCTCTTCTGATGCAATGGGGTCAATTTATTGCGCACGACATTGCAAATGATGAAGATTTCTGAAACGGGCTTACTACCTTTTTTGATTTCTAAACCCGGTAATTTCTTGCGAAATGGAAACCAAAGTCGTAAATAATGACGAGAAGAACATCAGCTGATCAGTTTTATGCTTGGCTTTGCTCTTGGGTTTTGCTTTAAACGTTTTTGCCGAATGCGAGCGCTACGATATTATGCTCCGAC